GCACACTGTCCACAGCTCCATCTCAGCCAATTCTACTGCTAGCATCCACATGTCTCAGCTGCTACAGCCTTTGGAGTCTTTTTAAATGAAGGAAAAAAGGTTTCCTGCTTTCCCTCAAATGATGCTGTGTCAAGATCCAAAAAAGACACATGAAACAGACCAATGACAATTTAGCCTGCATCTTCAAGAATAGTTCTTCCAAAAAGTTTGCCAAATACTACTAATGTTTTTCCATTAATATCTGAATTTATCAGTTAGACATGAAAAGATTGAGTAACCTGGCAGTGTCAGAAGAAACTTCCCCTTAAAGTCTGCACAAAACTACAAAGGGTTTACTGCAGAATTTGTATTAAAGGCTCTCTTGTTTTTCTGATCTACTTGGCACTACTTTTTTATTTCCACTGCAGAAGGGAAGTTTTTTAAAAGTTTACCAACTGCTGCTAATTTAGAGCAGGTTCTATAGAAACACACCAAATATTCTACAATATAATCTAAACAAGTTCACAGCTGGAAGTGTAGGACTCAATATTGTAAAAACATTTTTTTTCCAATTTGGAAAAGATGTGGATGGTGGAATACTCAGCTTGGCCGGACCCACAAAGGGTATTTAGGCTCTGCATAACTTTAGGCACCCCACTGCCTAGTGAAATCCACTACCCCAAATAGGGGCTCAGGATCCCTATACAATCAGTATTGCCAACTCCAAATGTTAAAAAATCAGGCTCACCAAAAATCATGAGATATGATTTTAAAGCCAAAGATTATGTAAAAATAGATCTGGTGTTTTTATTTGCCTTCTGCTTTTTGACCCTTTAGGGTGCACTGGGTCACATTTTGAAGCTTTCTCCACAGCCACGAGGACTAAAAACTTGCTTTTTCTTTAAGAATGAAGGCTGAAATCATCACATATCCACTTGACTCCAGGAGCAAGGGCTTTAAGGAAAATAATAATCATCATGAGACTCGTGATAAAATCATGAGAGTTGGCAACACTGTATAATGCATGGGAAGAGTTAGACACTTAAGAATAGTATTCAGAGAAGCCCGTGATGGACTTGCTAACCAGAGGACTACAAGTCCCATCATCTCTGTCCCTTGCCCTTCTTCTGGCAAGGAAAGGCCCTGAACCAGGAATTAGCTTGGCTCTGTTTGGATGCAAAGGCCTCAAGGATAGCCAGGAAGCTGGAGGCAGAAAAGATTTCAGGAACCATATGCAGAGCTGCGTACGGAGGGCTCTGAATGCCAGATTTAAAATATTTATTAAAGCTAATGTTAAATTACACCTCTACCCCTAATATAACGCGGTCCTCAGGAGCCAAAAAAATCTTACTGTGTTATAGGTGAAACCATTTTATATCGAACTTGCTTTGGCCTCAAGCATGTCAGCAAACATGCCTGACTCCACCCCCTATCTGACCTCCACCTACTTCCCACCCCGTCTGACCTCTCAGAACTCCCAATCTATCCAACTCCCCCGCTCCTTGTCCCCTGACTACCTCCTCCAGAGACCCCCTGCCCCTAACCATCCCTCCCAAGACCCCACCCCATCCAAGCGCCCCTGCTCCTTGTCCCCTGACTGCCCCCTCCAGAACCCCCCCCCATCCCTAATCACCCCCAGGACTCCCACGCCCTATCCAACACCCCGTTCCCCATCTCCTGACTGCACCGCCCCCAGAACCTCCAAACCATCCAACCCCCTCTGTCCCCTGACCCCCCCCCCCCCCGAGACCCTCTGCGCCTTATCCAACCCCTCAGCCCCGGCCTGGTACCCTTAACACGCCGCTCAGAGCAGCGTGTTGGAGCCTGACACGCTGATCCACCAGAGCACGCAGCCCCGCCCCCCAGAGCCCTGCTTTACCACATTATATCCGAATTCATGTTATATCGGGTCGCGTTATATCGGCGTAGAGGTGTATATAATACACAGGTTAAGAAGAGTGTCTGCACATCTGGGAATAGTGCTTAGATTATCCACAAATACAAAGTTTGTTTTAAAAGTCATAAGATACATATAGTGCATAATCAGCAATAACCCAAATTTAGGTGAATAAATTTAACAATACAGTTTAGCTATTAACATCCAAGTATTTGGGTACATCACTCATGAAAAGTTGTACAGAGAGTTGGTTGTGGAAAGCAAAATATATCAAAGAGTGAAGATTGTCCCTAAGTAATTGAGAATTTAGGGTAGGTTGTCTGTTTAGAAAATACAATCCATCAGGGAAATATTTCAGTTACTTTGCCGACAGCACTTCTCATCAGTATTACACTTGGGTGCAGGTCTGTGGAGAAAGTAGCAGTGACTGGGAAGGAAGCCAGTGCAAAGGGGACCCAATGAGAGACACTAACTGAACCTGGCTCAGAAACCCACAAGCTCGTATTTGCTTGAATACAGACTGGACTGGAGAGGACACCCAGGGACTAGACTTGAAGAGCCCTAACTCTCAGCTGGACTGCGCTGGGGGCCCATATAGGAACCACTATTGTTCTCTTTAAAGTGTAACTGTTTAAGTCTCTGTACCTAGGGTATTTGCAACCTTTCCTTTCCCTGCCAGCCCAAGTAAAATAATATTTCCCTTAGTCATGTGGCTGGGTTGCTATTGAGTCCCACCAGGGCTAGTGCCTACAATGCCTAGCGGTTGAAGCACCTACAGTACTTGCCTCCAACTTGGGGTACCTGTGATACCTTAAGGCAGGGATCGGCAACCTTTGGCATGCAGCTCGCCAGGGTAAACACTCTGGCAGGCTGGCCCAGTTTGTTTACCTGCCGCGTCCGCAGGTTCGGCCAATCACGACTCCCACTGGCCAGTTTGCCGCTCCAGGCCAATGGGGGTGGTGGGAAATGGTGGCCAGCAGATCCCTCAGCCCGCACCGCTTCCCGCAGCCCCCATTGGCCTGGGCCGGCAAACCGTGGCCAGAGGGAGCCACGATCGGCCAAACCTGTGGATGCGGCAGGTAAACAAACCGGCCCAGCCTGCCAGGGTACTTACCCTGGCGAGCCGCGTGCCAAAGGTTGCCAATCCCTGCTTTAAGGGTTTGAACTCCATTACTGACACCAGCAAGCTAAGCATGGAACCACCTAAGTTAGTCCGAAGGAAATGCTAAGGAACTAGGTGTAACCTAAGCCCTGCCCCTCAAGGAGCAGCTGGGGCTAAGGCATGGGGTTAAGCACCAGGCATTAAGACTTTGGTGGCTGTGCGCATACCCACCAACACAAATTTAGGAGCCTATAGGGCCAAGTGGCAGCTGAGCAGGCATTGAGATTCTACATTTTGGACTTGGGCACCTAAAGTGGCAGTTAAGTGCCTAAACGCCTTTGTGGATCTAGCCTCTTGTTTATGTGAGCAAACAAAAGAGAATTTGATTAATTTTATATTTGATTACCTCAGCTGTATGGAATATATGCATGGTTCCCATAGATTAGATGTGATAGTGGTATTGACATTTAAATTACCATATTTAAATTACCATAATTGTGACTCAAGGCTAGAAATCTAGGCTTAGTTCTAGTCACCTAGCATGACAAACCCATTGGGACCAATTTATAAATATATCCTTTAATTTTGCAGAACTAAAATGCTAGTATTTGCAAACTTAACTGACTCCTACAAATGAAGAAGGTAAACACTAGTATTTGCATCAAGAAAACTGAGGCCTAAATTGAAGCTCTTAAAAAAACAGATGAGTCAACCACAGGGATAAATGTAAGCTTAGCGGACAGTTTGCAGAAATATACTGACCTGGATGAGATGCTCAACTGCACTCCAGCCCTTTTACTTAGTGAAAAGAGGTTAGAGTGGCATAAAAGGGCCTTAAAAGCCCCTATTTGATAGATTCCCCCACTGCAGACATTGTAGCAGACAGTTGTATGACTGCCCTCCAATGACCCCCCTCATAAATCATGGTATAGGGCTAGGCAAGAGAGATATTGAGCAGCATGGGGAGACTACTGTAACTTAGACAGGGACCCAAAGGCTTTGTATGCCAGGAGCCTCTCCAGGCCCCTGGAAGCGTAAAAGTAACTTAAAGCTATTTTAGTCCACCCACTTCTTTGGCTGAGAGTTGTATGCTGTGCTGCCTGGGAACACAACATAGGATCTCCCCCACCCTTAGTTAGCATTCCTGAATTGCCATTGTTCCACTTCAGCAAAAAGTTCTACTGTAACAACGCCAGAAACTGACTACAGTCAATATTTTTCTACTATTATTGCTGTCATAATGAAACACTTTCAAATATCATGAGGCAGCTGAATCAGATGACTTAGATGTATTTTATCAAAGAACAGTAGTTTGATTCTTTAAAATCTTCCACAGGACAGCTAAAAAAAAATCCCTTAAATATCCAAATGCTTCACAGTAATGGAAAAATGGGATTTTTACTAGCAATTAATGACTAATCTTCCATGAATCAGACAAAATTCACTTCCATTACATTAAAATATGCATTATAGAGATATCAGCAGTAGTTAATAAAGTCACTCTTCCAGTGGTGCAGCAAAGCTTTTATTGCATTTTTAATAAATCCAAACAAAATTTGTCATGAGATGCTCTCAACACCTTTTCCTTTTTAGAGGTCAGTATTAGATTAGTTACTAATTACATTAATATTGCCTGAATTCCTAATGTTAATATCTCAGCTGGCCAGTTATATTATATTATCTAAATTAAGCTACTGAATAATCAAGGTTTCTTCTAAACTGATGGATGGTGCCGATCACCAAAGTTGGCACCATAATAGTTTCTTGTGTATCTTAAAGAGAACATGTGTGACATATTCTCTTTAAATCAGCATTACTAATCTTTATACACATCATGAATGTCCTTAGAGAAACAGCACTATACACATACTGTCCCTTGCTCCATGTTTCAGTTTTACCGACTCGTTAGGAAGCTTTGCTGAAGATGTGATCCTAATCTTTTTAAATATAAAGTAAGGGTAATGTCATCATGCAGATTTTACTCCCGTTAGAGGCAAGGACAGTATAAATAACATGACTAAGTTAGTATCAAAAGAACAAGAATTTAATTTGGTCTGTAACATCTTCCTAGAAGGATGTCTGTTTCCAACACTATACAATGGCTAATTATCTACATGTATAAAAATATAAACATCCTATCAAACATTTGTTGTAAAGATACCATCTATGACACATAGGACTGATAAGTATGGTACCTGTGCCTTCATTTCTAATTAAAAGACTGCCTTTAAAAAAAAAAAAGTTAGTTCTCATTAATTAGTATCAGACTTGTATTTATTCACAGAACAGGCAAAGGGTGAGCAACAGTAATTCCAGAAATGTATACAGTGCCCCATTAGCATGCCTCCACATTAACCTGGAGAGACTACCTCTCAAGGCAACCACATCCACTCACTCCTTACGCTCTCAGAGAGACAGCAAGAGTCAGTAACTTGTCCAGTGGAAGATTGCCCACTAGGAATTTGACTGCAATTACCAACTCATTTTTTACATAGCTACCATAGTTATTGGTAGTCTATCAAACAGCTAATTACTTTAGGTCACTACTAACCTGTGTCCAGATTAGAACCAGTGAGCTTTAAGTGAAAAGCTCCATATCTCACTACTAGTCACTGGCTAGTCTTTAATATCACAAACACAAAGATTAGAAAAAATGATTAGTTTGTGTTGATTTTATTACACCCATTCTTTTTTTAAATAATCATATGCGCTTTTGGGTCATCTGCTAGCAATTAAACAGACACTGATCAAAATACAGGTATCTTCATTTTTAAGGGGGCATCTAGCCAACAGGAAGTTTAGTTATAATTCACATTCAAGCAAATAAGTGTAGACAAACTCAGTTCTACAATTATGTTGATATTCATACTTAGTTTTTTCCATAGAAACAGGTATAAGAAATGGATCAAAACATTACCATATTGTATACAGAATATGCAAGTGTTCAGGCTAGATATACTTTATGAAATTTTGTAGCACTAAAATGAATATAAAACTAAATGATTCGTGTAAAATGTTTATATAGTGTATATACACTAAATCTCAAATTCAATTTAACGGTCCTCCATTCATAACTCCTATGATGGATTTATTAAGTCATAGTACAAGGTTCTTTAAAAAAAAAAAACCACTAGCTGGAGCCAATTTAAACACTTACTGAAAACCCATTTTATACAAAGTTTTAAAAAACATACTTCAGAGAAAGTTACTTAACAGAAACTAGAAAAAGACAGTCCTTGACTTAAGAATGACATTGTAAATACTTAGTAGCTGTGATCAATATCCTTTCACTTGTGGTATAGATAAAATATGCACAAATAAATCATCTTAGAATAAGGCATAGGACAACCAGCTTTCATTCTATTTTCTGGTGCACTGGCCTCCCACTACTATCTTATTATTGCTCATCTAATCTGAAATGTATATTTCACTTTTAAAAATATATTACAATTATCTACAACTGGACAATACGTGTTCTCTCGTGTACATTTTCAGCTTAATCACATGGATAAACTCTACTTTAATGTATAAAAAACTAAGACAGCAAATTATTTTCAGTATTACTTTCATGCATGCTTTTAGTTAAAGACTAGGTGGTGAAAAGAGAGCACTGGAACTCAAATTGATGAACATTGCTTAAATAAAAAGGTTTCATATTATCTGAAGCTATAGCTTTGTAAAAAGGAAAGAAGGTTTAAAAATGAAATCCCAATGTGAAACTCTTTGGTTAGATTGTAAATGCTAGTAATCTCTCTAAATACAAGAGTCAGGACAATCAAGTAAACCGCAGTTTTATCTTTGCAACCTCAAACTTTAATATGCACCATTAAAGTCCTTGAATGCTTAGGATGGTTAAAAAGGTGTAATTTTTTTTGTTGAAGCTTGAATAGAGAACTCATGTTTTAAAATTCAAGAAGTGTAAAGTGCTTTTGTACTCAGATCCTTAGCTGCTTATTAAAAAGAGAGGCTAAACCTTCATTTATTACAAAAGCTTGTGCTTATATAGCATGTTGTTCTTCCACAGAAAGCTATGGCTGCTTCCTCTGGAAGAGAAGCAGTTCTAAACTTGTTAGCTTATATAGGCTAAGTTCAGCACTACTGTAAGGAGTAACTCCCATTGAAGGAATGACTGTTGCTCCTGTTTTTGTTGGGGCTGCATTTAGTTCTGTACCTTTTTTGAGAAAGTACTCATTATGCCTAGGAAATGTTACTTAGCAGTGTGATTTCTCTGATAATACTGCTACAAAAAACTAAAAAAATCAATATTTATTTTGTTAAGAAAGCCATTTGAGGAAGCATTTCAGTCAGCTTCAACAATTACATAGTACTAACATGACGACACTGAAAGTAGCAAGCAGGATTCACTTGTTTTTACTTGGATTTGTAAACTTGTATCACTTCAACATCTAAAAACCTCACTTTCATAGGAAACAGGCACTCTACCTCCTCTCTGACCAGCCTGGTTTATGTCACACCAATCCACTTTAAAGGAGTTTAAGGAACGTGCAATGGATTTTTAGGTAGTTCCTGTATATGGTAACTTTGTGACACTAAGGATTTTACACCACCTATGAAAGTTATGATTCACAAGCACTGTAAGTTTTCAAGAAATTGTTGCTTTATATCTAGTGAGGATAGACATTGTTCTTCCAAGTTGGTTTAACAGTTCAAGTGGTTGGTAATCCAGAGTACTTGGTTTGATACTTGTCCTTGGCCATCAGCCTCCTTCACCAGCCACACACACTTGATCCAGTTCAAGAGTTTCTAAGTTCAGGGCTTTGGGGAAGGATAGAGATGGAGTAGGAAGGGATAAGGAAGTAATTGGTCCTGGAGGATCAGTCATTCCCAGCCCCCAATCTCACACAACTCCTGCAGGAAAATCATGAGCAAGAGGGATAACCCATCATCACAGATAGCTGTCCCACTCACCATTTCATAGTTGGGTGGGCAGTTGTAAATCTGCAAGGTTGCTGAGCAGGGACAAGGAGGAGAAGTTAAAACATGGGGAAGGTATTCCTCCCCTCCCCCTTCTTAGTGGGGTATGGTGCCCAGTTCGTGGGAAGAGAGTCTCTGGGCGTAAGGGAGAGGGAGCTCCCCTCACCCCCTGGGTCTGAGGGGTGGAGAGGAGACAGGCAGAGTTTGGAACATCTCCTGTGGTGGTGGTGGTGGTGGTGGTGGAGGGGCTGGCACACAGCTGGGAGCATGGGGGGAGTGTAGGGCAGAGGCTGATGGAGGGCGCTGTGTGTGAGGGGCTGGGGGCGCACAGGGCGGCCTGCCCCGGCGTGTCTGCCGGCTCAGTCCCTGCAGAACACGTACTCGGTGTAGCTGGTCCAGATCTTGTCGTCGGCGGGGCCGCCCTGCTCGGGGGCGAAGGCGCAGGTGCCGGTGGAGGAGCAGGCGGCCATGCGGAAGCCGGCCTCGGAGAGGCGGTCGAAGGCCTGCTCCAGGAAGTTGAACTTGAGGTAGTAGCGGGCGGTGTAGCGCTCGGGGGGGCGGTCGGGGTCGCGGCTCTCGTTCAGCGTCTCGCCGAACACCTCCTTGGCCAGCGCGGTCTTGCCGCACACGGTGATGCGCGCCACCCGCCGGAACTTGGCGTCGGCCTGCGCCTCCCGCCCGATGGTGTAGGAGCCGCGGTAGCCGATGGTGATGTAGCCCGAGCGCCGCCCCGCCCCGCCGTCCAGGGACTGCGACGGGGTGAGCAGCGGGCCGCCGGAGGGGCTGCGGCTGGAGGTGGGCGACGGGGCCGAGGCGGCGCCCCCAGCCTCGGGCGGCTCCGCCTCCAGGTAGCCGAGCAGGGACGGCGGCTCGTCGGCGCAGAGGGAGCCGTCGCGGTTCAGGGCGGCGGGCGCGTCCCCCCGCCGGCCGCCCCCCGGCCCTGCGCCAGGCGGCGCGCCAGCTCGGGCAGCTGGAAGTACTCGGCCTCCCGCTGCAGGCGGCTGCGCTCGGGGAAGTGCTCGGGCAGCACCAGCTGCAGGTCCCGCAGGTAGTCCAGGATGTAGCGGAAGAGGAAGCCGTCGCGGTCGAGGAAGAAGCGGCCTTTGCTGTCCCGGGGCAGCTCGCCGGGCTGCTGCTGCGAGAACATGCGCCAGAGCAGCGAGTCCCGCACCGACACCACCGTGCCGCGCCGCGTCACATACACCTGCCCGCCCACATTCAGCTCCACGATCTCCGGGAAGGCGGACGAGCCCGCGGCCCCCGAGCCCGGCCCCGCCGCTGGGGACACGCCGCCCCCGTTCGGCAACCCCCGGGCGCTGTCCGCCAGGGCCATCCCGGAGCGAGCCCGCTGCCGCCTCCTGCCCTTACTCCGGCGGGTGGCGGGGTGCAGCCGCCTCTCCTCCCGCCGGCCGTGGGAAGAGCCGCCGCCTCTCGGCCCCTTTCGCCGTCCTCTGCTCCGCGCTGGCAGAGCCGCTCACTGCGGGCGCGGGCAGCGTCTCCTCTGGCCCCTTCCCTCTCTGCGGGCGCGGGCTGAGCTGCCGCCGCGCCTCACGCCAAGTGCTGAAGGAGCCGCCGCCTCACCTCACCTCGCTTATTTCCCCCGTGCTGCCCGCTGGGCGAGGCTCCTGGGCCAGGCTGAGAGGCGAGTCCCCTGCGCTAGCAGCGGGGCTGTGTTTATGTAGAGCTGCTGCACCTCGCAGGAGGCGTGGGAGGGTGGCTGGGAGGCAGAGCTGAGCGCAGAGACTCTCACTCAGACGGAGCGAAAGGGGGTGGATTTATACTGACGTACCCTCCCTTCCCCAATTACAAGGGAGACTACAGAGCCCCCGTGTCCCTTTCCTAATCCCCTGCAAAGCCGGATCCCTTTTCCAAATGTGGCTCCGGCCTGAGATTCACTGGGAAAATGTTTGTACTTGGGATCACTTGCTCATCCATCTAAACATCATCAAAGTAGTTAGCCGCTTACCTTACACAGCGCAGGCAGGAATCAGGATTTAATGGTTGTACAGTACTTTGGATATGTATAGCACAATGTAATGCAAAGTTCCTAAATGTTATGAATAAACTTCAGGCATTTATTTTGGGTTGGTACTGCAAATAATGATTGCCACCGGTCAAAGCTGTTTCCATACATCCCTATACCCAATGCCTGATGAAGGACATCCCTCAGTCAAATTTATCTCCTTTTCACACAATTGGTGTTATCTCATTTTCATTGTTTTAATTTATTTACATCACAAATGCATAATCGTGAAAATAATATTAAAAGTGTTAATGATGGTGAAAAGCAACAGAGGGTCCTGTGGCACCTTTAAGACTAACAGAAGTATTGGGAGCATAAGCTTTCATGGGTAAGAACCTCACTTCTTCAGATGCAAGTTCAGTTATTTACATTTGAAGAAGTGAGGTTCTTACCCATGAAAGCTTATGCTCCCAATACTT